TTTCCTTCTGCAAAATGACATAGAAATAAATCAGTTTTAATGCTCCATAGGTCACTTCTCTGATTACATTTATTGTAAGGCTAAACTAGAAATATGTCCATAGGACATGAATGCCCCGCCGAGGATATTATTAGTAAAGGAACATGAAAATTTGTATGTGTATAAAATTTGATCAGTTTGGTTCAGGTAGGTCTTATAGTTACTTGGGAATAAAAATATAAGTCAGTTCCAGCATCTGAAGCAAGTCTGGTTGAGTCCATCTCTAGATGCATCATCCATGCAAATTTGGTTCAGGTAGGGCTTATAGTTACTTAGGAATGAAAATGTAGGTCAGATCCAGCATCCGAAGCAAATCTGGTAGTGTTCATCCCTAGATATATCATCCATGCAAGTTTGGTCCAAGTAGGGCTTATAGTTCCTTAGTAATGGACCTGCTCCAAAAACTTTAACCTGGTCAGTCATCTGGAAAATGTAGGTCAGATCCAGCATCCGAAGCAAGTCTGGTAGTGTTCATCCCAAGATGCATCATTCATGAAAGTTTAGTTTGGTTAGGGCTTATAGTTCCTTGGAATTGAACTTGCTCCAAAAACTTTAACCTGGTCACTTATCTGGAAAATGTATGTCAGATCCAGCATCCGAAGCAAGTCTGGTAGTGTTCATGCCAAGATGCATCATCCATGCAAGTTGGTATCAACATGTGAAGTTTGATAACACCATCTTGAATGGTATGTTTTAAACTGAGCAAAACACTAATTTAAGAAAGTGAAATCAAGGTCAAAAGAAAGGTCAAGGTCAAAAAATGTTGATATCATCAATATCTATCAGCATATGAAGTTTGATGACAATGTCTTGGATAGTTTCTTTGAAACTTAGCTTTGAACAGAGCTAAACACAAAGTGTGACGGAAGGACGGATATGACAAACACTATATGCCCCGGCCATATTCATAACAGGGCATACAATCTTTTTTCATTTAAAAGTTATTTCAACTTTAAATTTATTGGCGGGTTTGATTGACACATCCTTGCACTTTCACATATTTTAACTTTATTCTTAATCCTTCAGAAAAGTGGCAATCTTGTTGTGTATTATTGAGAAATATAAAATTTTAATCCAGAAAAATAATTTTATTCAAAGTAGAAATGTCTGAAAGCAAATCACCTTCACAAGCATTGTCATTCCCAGCTAAGTCATGTGTGCAAATCGATCACACTTGTGTTATGTACACAATTTTGTAAACAAGGCACAAGCTCTGTTTTTGTAGATGTTTAAATTTCACCGGGTGCATTCAAATGTCAAAGTCTGCTCACCACAACTGCATGGACTGACAATATATTGTGTGTTTGTTTTGCTTTCGAACATGTCTACTCTGAGTTTTCTAGATTGTATTAATATTTTCATTTATACACAACAATATTGCAACTTTTCCTACGTACTGGGATTAAAAGTAAAATTTGTGAAAGTGCAAGGATGTGTCAATAAAACCCGCCAAAAAATTTAAACCTTTAATAACTTTAAAATGAAATAAGATTTTTAATTAATTTTTGTATGAAATCCTATTAAAATATATATAATTCATACTATTAAAGAGAAAAAATTAACTTCATATCTTTGTTTAAGTACCTTTAACTGGTTTAAAATTATTTAAATTCGTTCAAAATGCCTTCATTATACATTGAGTACCTTAAATACGAGACAGAGTCATAATACGTATTTAAGATCTCAGGTTAATGGTACATATTTTTTTGTAATTTATATTCGTTTTGAAGTTTAAAGGAAGCTCATTATACCATTTTTTGATGACGTACTTCTACAAAATAAAAATATCCCTTGCTTTGTCAATATTCCTCTGGGGACGAATTTTACAGGTACTTTTGTACTTTGACTCTGACCTTTATAAATTGTTAAATCATGTGAATGTTTTATACAGTGAAAAACAAAGAGACGGATTCATTATTAACTCTTTACATCTTACTGTACCGTTATGCAACATACACTAAATGTTCACACTAAATGATAGAAAAAGAAATTTACCATTTCCCCGCAAGCATCTTATAGCGTGGTACACGTTTCTCTAAAGTTAAGTGTAAATAATATTATGACGCTATATTTTAATGCAAAGATAACTTTTCTTTTCCATGACATTTTTGCAAGTATAGAATAGAAGGAAATAGGCATTAAAGTAAGGATTGATTGAACTTTTTAAAGTGCGTGAAAATGCGTGATTGCCTGGGAAACGGTAAATGCGTGATTTTGCGTTAGAAATAGGAAATGGTAAATGCGTTAAAATGCGTGACTGTGGTGAAGGGGGTTAATAAACCACGGATTTTTTTAAGCAGAAAGAAAGAAAAACAACAGCCAAACAAGTTATGTGCAATATCATCGCGAAGCAGTGAGCACTCGCTTACAATGACATGTTTGTATAGACGAACACTATAACCTTGTTGAAATAAGAAAAAAAGTTATTTACTTGCATAATTGAATAACTTTTATAATTAAATATCTTGGTGTTGATTTATATACTCAGATAATTGATTTAAAAGCCAGTTATGCTAAAATAATCCCATGTTCCCCACTATTGTTGATGTCCCTGGCATAGTCTCCTAACTAAACAGTGTTTCCTTATAACTTCATTTTTACTTGAAATAACAATTGTAAATCAAAATACCGTCTAATTTAGTAGATTTAAAATACACTATACGTCCAATTTTATTTTTAAAAAATAGTCCCATAAAAAACGAAACAAATTTATTGATTATTTAGTCACTGAAGTCAAATATCAACATTTATAAAATAAACAACAAAAGAATTTTAAATTGTGATCAAAGAAATCTTGTTAACTCTAATTATATCTGTGGCCTAGATTTAGGTTGTCGGAAGCACGAACACGGATATAGGCCATAGGTCACTTCTCCGCCGCCATACTGAATGCAATGGGTCAGTTGATTAAATGGAGGTTGGTCAGCATGGTCAGGAAACAGATTTATATGGATGTTAAAATAACAGAGGAAGTTGCGTTGCTTAAGAAATCGGATGGTAATGACTGAGGGAGATGTCTGTATCAGATGATGTCGTGCAACTCTATGTGACAATTTCTCCACGCGGTTAAGATAGGCTGTTTACCATCTTTACAGAAGTGGAGTTCTTGGTATTGCGAGGCCTCGGTAATAGTGGACAGCGTTGAACTGGTGACTTGCTTTTGATCCAAAGATGATTCCATATTCATTTTGTTTGTTAAAAGATATATCATATCTAATTACTAAGTAAACAGTTAAACAAAACATTTATTTTTCTTTAGTGTATTTATACGCCAGTGATACAAACATGCAGGTTGATATTTGACCTTTCAATAGTGTTTGAACAGAGAAATTTACATGCCACAGAAATCACAGAAAAATTAACAAGAAACATTTGTAGTGTTTATCATAGAGAAAAAAATTGGAAATGTAAATATTTATATATATACTCTGGAAATTCAAGGCTTTGTTCTGAATTTTAGATATAATGTTCAAACGTTCCTTAGCGTTTAACATTTTCAAGTCTTTGTTAATTAGGAAAGATAACTCTTGAACTTTTTATTACCAATTTTTCTAAACTGGAATTTTCATTTAGTTAAAACATTCTTGATTCAATTTGTCATATACAATACATTCCTGGCCTATTCAGAGCCTGTTTTTCTTAGATTTTATGCACATGTATATTAATGACATTAATTATGTTGTTAATTGTTTTAATTAGAAAACTATTTTTTATAATAAAATTAATATGAGGTATTATGAGGCTTTTGTTTTAATTAAGTTTTTGTTACGTGATTTGCACTGTTTTGGGTCAATGCAAGGCAAGTAACAGCTTTAAGGTACATTGATACTCTGATAGAAGAAATACATGTAACTCTTAATGACACAAATGTCTATTATTCCTTTATAAATTTGTCAAGTTTAAGTGCCTTTTTTGTCAAATTTTGCCTGCAAGCCCTGTTATAATTCTTTGTTTTTTATTCAGAATATACATTTGAAAAATCATAAAAGTTAAAGGAAAATTTCATATAAGTGAGCAGAGTGTTTATGACCCTTAATGAAAATGAATGCTTTCCCACACACATCACATTTATAAGGTATATGACCCGAATGTGTCCTCATATGTATCTGTAAGTTCCGTGATTCGTTGAATGCCTTCCCACACACATCACATTGAAAAGATTTATCACCATAATGTGCATCACATTGATAAGGTTTATCACATGTATGTGTTCTCATGTGTGTCTGTAAGTGGTGTGTCTGGCTAAATGCTTTCTCACACACATCACATTTATAAGGTTTTTCACCTGTATGTGTCCTCATGTATTTCTGTTAGTTCTGTGATTGGTTGAAAGCCTTCCCACACACATCACATTGATAAGATTTATCACCTGTGTGTATCTTCGAGTGGCGGTATAAGTTGCCTAAATTTTTGAAAGCCTTCCCACACACATCACAATTTTTAAGTTTATCACCTGTGTGTATCCTCAAGTGTTCATGATAGGTATATGACCGGCTGAATGCTTTTCCACACACATCACATTTATATGGTTTATCACCTGTGTGTATCCTCAAGTGTTCATGACAGGTATATGATCGGCTGAATGCTTTTCCACACACATCACATTTATAAGGTTTATCACCTGTATGTGTCCTCATGTGTGTCTGACAAGTATATCAATGGCTGAATGCCTTCCCACACACATCACATTTATAAGGTTTATCTCAAGTATGTTTCCTCATGTGTCTTTTATAATTGGAGGCATTTTTGAATAATCTCTCACAAACACCACATTTGTAAGGTTCTTCACCTGTATGTATTCTCATGTGTACTTGTAAGGTATCTTTCCGGTTGAATAACTTTCCACAAACTTAACATTTATGAGGTATATCACCTGTATGTGTTCTCAAGTGTGTCTGTAAGTGTTGTGACTTGCTGAATGCTTTCCCACATACTAGTACTTCACATTAATAAGGTTTATCACCTGCATGTGTCCTCATGTGGCAGTTTAAGTTACCTAATTTGTTGAATGCCTTCCCACACATATCACACTTGTAAGGCTTATCACCTGTATGTATCCTCATGTGTTCATGACGGGTATAAGATTGGGTGAATGGCTTCCCACACACATCACATTTATAAGGTTTATCTCCAGTATGTGTCCTCATGTGTCTTTTATAATTGGAGGCATATTTGAATAATCTCTCACAAACACCACATTTGTAAGGTTCATCACCTGTATGTATTCTCATGTGTAATTGTAAGGTATCTTTCCGGGTGAATAACTTTCCACAAACGTAACATTTATGAGGTATATCACCTGTATGTGTTCTCATGTGAGTCTGTAAGTGATGTGACTGGCTGAATGCTTTCCCACACACTTCACATTTATAAGGTTTATCATGTGTCCTCAGGTGGCAGTTTAAGTTACCTAATTTGTTGAATGCCTTCCCACACACATCACACTTGTAAGGTTTATCACCTGTATGTATCCTCATGTGTTCATGACGGGTATGAGACTGGGTGAATGCCTTCCCACACACATCACATTTATAAGGTTTGTCTCCAGTATGTATTCTTTTATGTCTGATTAAGCTACAGGACAGGCTGAAGTTCTTTAAACAGAAATCACATTGAAAAGCTTTGCTGGTTGACTTTTCAGCCTCACTTTGAATCTTTGAATTAGATGACCAGACTTCTTTTTCCCTCTGTAAATTTAGCAAAAATTGTTTTAAGTAGTGTGTCAAGCTACATTTTTTGATGATTATATATAGAAAAATCAGAAATTAGACTTAAATGAATTCCATTGCAAACAAAATTTTACTTTCCTTTTTTTCTTTCTCTTTTTTCCACTATACAGGTGAATAATACGATATGTTCAAAATGTATTTAGGTAAAGACCGATGTGACTTTTTTTTCTATACTTTAAAACAATGAAGTAAAAATCTATTCTAAATATATTGCTTAAGGTCATATGCAACGTAGTTTGATTTTTGGGGGGTTCTTCCCTGGAGTTGAAGAGTTCCACTATATGAAGGACCTGTGTGCAGTATTTTTAATGTCTATATATGGATTTGTACACCTCTTCTAAAACAATTTTTGATGAAAAACAATCGGGAATTTATGTTTTATAATTTTTATTCATTTTTATTTGAATAATGCAAAAAAATTCAAATTTCGATATCTTTTCAAAACCCCTGGTAAGGCATGCTGATTTTTTGTCTAAGAACATATAATAATATTATAAGTTTAAATTTAGAATATCTTGGAAAATTATCAGTAGGTAAGGTAAGTTGTGTATGTCCTTAAAAACAATTCCTTAGTTTTGAAAATAATGTTAAATTACCGAATAAGTGGAAATTTTAGCGAGACGCAAATTTAGCGATTTGTCCTTAAAATTGGGTATTTAATATTTAGCAAGATAAAATACTAGCAATTTTGAAATGCCAACTAAAAATAACTATTACAACTTTAACACGACTAAATTTTAGCGATATCGGCACCTTCGCTAATAACGCCAAAATTAAATCCTCGCTAAAAATTCTGTTTATATGGTATAAAAAGTAAAAAAAAAAAGAAAAGTAAAAAAATAAGAGGCCCATGGGCCACATCGCTCACCTGAGCACTGTGGGTAGGAAAAAGTAGAAATTGGTATATCACTGAAAATCATCCAAAAGTAAACCCATGACCAGTTATGGTTTTGTTATTCTTGAGAAGGTGATTTTAAAGAAATTTCCTATACAGTCGCACCTGCTGTTACGGCCACCCTTAATCAGCGGCCACTCCCCATGAGCAGCCAGTTTTAATCCCACCCGTTCATTGTTTCACTATATTTTAACTCTTTTAAGCGGCCACCTGTCTAACGCGGCCAGTGGCCAGTGTTTTGGGGTCCCATGCGCTCAATATACCTGTTTTCAGCGGCCATTTTGTCTGTTTTGTCACATGACTTCCGTCTGACACGTGACCTGGTATCTCCGTAGAGAAGCCAAACAAGAACAGCTGATTATAAGAAATGACCGATAATTGCGGGTGTAATTTGAAATCTGTCAGGATTTAATGATTTAATTAAATGATATGTTTTTTAACAAGTGTTTTTTTTTTTTGGAGTTCTTTTATACGAAAGAAAGTTGTTGAATATGTTCATGATATAAACTCAGTACAATAATAACAATATCGCCTTAGGTTATCAAGTGGCCAGTCGCCCTATTATGTTTACATGTACACATAGATCTATTAAATGACGTATTCTGAGTAAAAATCAACCAATGTATTGAAATATTAAATGAAATGGAGGGCAGGAAGAGGACAGTCCTCTCCTTAAAAGATAAGGCCAAAGCTATTGAACTTAGTAAACAGGGTCTGTCTTCGCGAAAAATATCGGAAGTTTTAAAGTGTGGAAAAACTCAAATTAATAATCTATTAAAACGAAAACACGAAGTTTTGGAGGATTTGGAACAAAATGTAGACCCTGAAAGAAAAAGACGTCGTCACGTTACAGGGAACGAGGAAATAAACGAACTGTGTTGGACATGGTTTCAAGATGCGACAAAACGCAGGATATGTGTCACTGGTCCTCTCCTCCAGGAACAGGCGAAAAAATTCGCATCACAACTAAAGAATGATTCATTCAAAGCATCAAATGGATGGCTAGAATCTTTTAGGAAAAGACATAACATTTCGTTTGGTTTAATGAGTGGGGAAAGGGGTGATGTAAACACAGAAACTGTCCGTGATTGGAAAGAAAAACTGAATCTGATTTGTGAAGGTTATGAACCTAGGAAAATTTTTAACATGGACGAAACGGGGCTGTTTTTTAGAGAAACTACACGTAAAACTTTGTTTGTAAAGGGGGAGGACTGCGCTGGAGGAAAGAAATCAAAAGACAGAATAACTGTAGCCTTATGTGCCTCTATGTGCGGGGAAAAGGTTAAACCTGTATTAATTGCCAAATCCAGAAATCCTAGATGCTTTAAAAAAATCAAACCAGAGACCTTACCAGTTTCTTACTATTACAATAAAAAATCGTGGATGAACAGTGGAATTATGGAGGATTGGCTAAAAGGACTGGATCGTAAAATGGGAAGACAAAACCGAAGAATTTTATTGTTCATGGATAATGCCCCATCCCATCCCAAACTACAGTTGAGGAACATTGAGTGGAAATTCTTTCCTGCAAACACAACATCACATACACAGCCTATGGACATGGGCATTAGCCAGACAACAAAGCTTAAATTTAGGAGAAAACAGGTAGGTTTCTGTTTTAATTTGTAAAGATGATATTAACTCTGTTATTTTTTTATTATTTAAAAAAATATTTTTATTACTTGCACAGATGCAGTACATCCTCAATCAGATGGAAAAACAGCCAGGAGTAGGGGGGACAGAACTTCTTCGCCAAATAAACATATTAGACACTATATATTGGCTAAACCAAGCTTGGCAAGAAGTGGAGTCCAGCACTATCACAAAGTGTTTCGAAAAAGCGGGGTTCAGTTTTACATCTAATGAGAATGATGACAAGAGTGAGGATGAAGATGACGATGATGATGTCCCGTTGTCAGTTCTAAAATTATCCAGTGAACTTTTTGGATGTGATTTCAGTGAATTGGTCCAGTTAGATCAGGACATAAATACTTGTGACACCGATACTATAGATTGGGGACTGCCAGCACAGCAAATCCTGGACATTGAGAAAGTCTCATCAGATGAGGAAATTTGTGAAGATGATGGTGATGAGGAACTGAATTCGATCTCTATCTCCGATGCAAATATTTATTTAGAAAAGCTTAAAGCCTTTGCTCAGAATCACGGACATGCTATTCTGTTAGAACACATTATGATTTCTAGTGCTATTGTTGATTCCATGGCTGTTTCCCATACAAAACAAAAAACAATAACAGATTTCCTTCCAAAATCAATGTGAAAAAAAAAATGTAAATGAAAACTTCCAACATTTTTTAAATGTGTTGAAATTGTGGAGTTAAATACATTCAAAATAAATACATGTAAACACAGCTGTACTCGCAAAATTTTTACTCATTGGTTTGAAACCTGTAATAAGTGTATATTTCTATGTAAAACTTTGGTCGGCCATTGTGGCCCCGCCCTGCCCCTGGGAGTCATGATTTGCACAAACTTGAATCTACACTACCTGAAGATGCTTCCATATAAATATGATCAATTATGGCTTTGTTGTTCTTGAGAAGATGATTTTAAAGAATTTTCCTATATATTTCTATGAAAAAATTTGGTCGGCAATTGTGGCCCCGCCCTACCCCCCGGGGTCATAATTTGAACAACTTGAATCTACACTACCTGAGGATGCTTCCGTATAAAAATGATCAATTATGGCTTTGTCATTCTTGAGAAGAAGATTTTTATAGAATTTTCCTATATATTTCTATGTAAAACTTTGGTCGGCCATTTTGGCCCCGCCCTATCCCGGGGGTCATGAATTTAACAAGCTCAAATCTACACTACCTGAGGATGGTTACACATGAGTTAAATTTTTCCTGGCACAGTGGTTCTTGAGAAGAAGATTTTTAAAACACACCTTTAAATTTTCATTAATTCCCAATTATCTCCCTTTGAATGAGGGCGTGGCCCTTCATTTGAACAAAATTGAATCCCCTTCACCTAAGGATGCTTTGTCGCATGTTGGGTTGAAATTGGCCCAGCGATTCTTGAAAAGAAGTCAAAAATCTGAAAAATTGACAGACAGACAGACGGACAAAATATTATCAGAATTTATGATTGATTGATTGATTGTATATTGTTTAAGGTCCCTCTTGAGAATTTTCACTCATATGGAGACGTCACCGATGCAGGTGAAGGGCTTCAAATTCAGACCTATACTCGGCACTCAGGGCCATTGAGCAATGAGTGTTTCTTTATCGTGCCAACGCCTACTGTGACACGGGACCTACGTTTTTAAGGTCATATCCGAAAGACCCGTGACTTTCACTTCTAGTGCCGAGCGCTTGGCGAAGGAACAGTCACTACCTATGTTTACGTCTTAGGTATGACGCGGCGCCGCGATCGAGAATCGAACCCGGGCCTCCCAATCACGAAGCGAACGCTCTACCACTAGGCTACCGTGACCGGTTTATCAGAATTTAAGCTTTGTAGCTAACTGGGTAGTTAATGTTTATAAGGATAATACAAAAAAAAATTGAGATTTTTATTTAGGATTTTTTGGACAGGTTTGATTAAATTGTGTTATTTGTCTCTTCACTTTCTTCTTTGATTAATCTGATTTGAAAACAGCTCAAATTAATAGGTATATCACTGGTGTTCATTTACATGTTCATTTACATGACATTTTGACTGACTATGCCAACTTCTTTACACTTCGTTTATATGCTATTTCCTATATGAATCCACATGTGTTTTTGTAAGGTATCTAATCTGCTGAATGTTTGTTCACATACACAACATTCATAAGTTTTTTTTCACCTGTATGTATCCTCATGTGTCTTTGTTTGGTACTTGAACGGTATAAAAAGCCTTTCCACACACATCACAATCATAAGGTTTTTCACCTGTATGTGTCCTCCTGTGACTCTGTAAGTGACTTGACCGATTGAATTCCTTTCCACACAAATCACATTTATTAGGTTTTTCACCTGTTTGTGTACTCATGTGTATTTTTATGCTATTAGATCTGCTGAATGACTGTCCACATACATGGCATTTAAAGTATTTTTCACCAGAATGTGTCCTCATGTGTTTCTGCAAGTTGCCTGATACAGAAAAAGTCCTTTCACACATATCACATTAAATTTTGTAAGGTTTTTCACCAGTATGTGTCCTCATGTGACTCTGTAAGTTCTGTGACTGATTGAAAACCTTCCCACACACATCACATTTGTATGGTTTTTCACCAGTATGTATTCTCATGTGACTCTGTAAGGTCTGAGACTGGTTGAAAGCCTTCCCACACACTTCACATTTGTAAGGTTTTTCGCCAGTATGTGTTCTCATGTGTATTTGCAGAATTTTTGGTCTGTTGAATGCCTTCTCACAAACTCCACATTCATGAGGCTTATCAGCTGTATGTGTCCTGCAAGTGTTGTGACTCACTGAATGCCTTTTCAAATACATCACATTTAAAAAGTGTATTATTTAATTGTGTCCTCATATTTCTCTGTAAGGTACCTGTTTGTTTAAACGTTTTTTCACCTGCATCACAACAAGATTCATAACCAGTTTGTGTCCTCATGTAGTTATAAAAGTCATTCGATACAGAGAATGCTGTCCCACAAAATTCACACTGAAAACTTTCCTCCCTGGTTTGATACCTTATTTGTCTTTGTATTTGACCTGAACTAGTGAAACATTTCCTAGTGATACATTTCCGAAGCTGTTTACTTACATATATGTTGATGTGTCTTTCTGAATTTCATGTTTGATCTTCATCTGAACAATAGTTCTGTAATTGTTCACTGTCTTTCTGAATATTTGAATGGGGTTCAAAATCGCTCCTCTCCTTTTGCAAAAATGACAAAGAAATCAGTTCCATTGCTCCACAGGGCACTGTTCTGATTATATTTAATGTAAGAATAAAAAAGTTTGACATAAACATTTACTTTAAGAACTGGGTCAAAAAGCAAGGGTCAATAATAAAATGCCCCGCCACAGCATGATACGCCCGTCAAATATTGTTCAATAATCATGAATTGGTTAGGATGCAGGAATATCAGGTAGCCTTGATTAACAGATTGACACAGATTTCAATTATCTATTTTCCATTTCTTATTATACATCTCTAAGAGACTTACAGTGTAGGGATTGATTATAACAAATAATACTAGTGAGACATGACTGCAATTTGTCGCAAATATATAAAAATTGAAATATAATGGGGTTTTTTTCAATGAACACATGTATAACTAGTTTTAATCATATTGTACAAAACTAATTTAGTTTTAATCATACACTAAAACATCAATTGGTTTTAATTAATTACACCAATTGAAAGATCTTTATCTGGACTAGCCATCAAGAACTCTTAATTAACACAAACTCTTTTTGCCCAACTCCCAGATAACTGCTGCACCAGATCTAGAAATGCTCTTAGCTTCTGACAATAAACTCATTAATTTCTCTTTAATTTGACATGCAAATTTCTGCTATCAAAATTCTTCTTGACCAGTGCTTGATAATCAAGCCCATGGGACAAACTGAATTCCTCTCAAAGCATAAACATTTGTTACAGATTGCTGTAAAGTATATAATGAAAAAATAAGTTTTTACTTAATTTAACATTTTTTAATAAGGATAAAACTATATTTTTACATTTTTAGGATTATGAAATTTAGAATTTAAAAGACATAGTTTTTCAAAAAAATTCATTTTAATTAAAGGTCACAGTGACCTTGAAATAGGTCGCGACACACCTTCTACTTTAGATGTATACTTTTGCCAAGTTTGAAAGCTCTAGGTCTAATAGTTTTCTAGTTATGAGCCTGACAGGATTTTTCCATATTTTGCTATAGCATCTTTGTTGCAAATATATAAAAATTGAAATATGATTTTTTTCTTTCAATGAACACATATATAATTAGTTTTAATCATACACGAAAACATCAATTTGTTTTTATTTTATTACACCTATTGAAAGACCTTTATCTGGACTAGCCATCAAGAACTCTTAATTAGCACAAGCAACTATGAGGCCATTTCTTTTTGCCCAACTCCCAAGAGATAAATTAAGATAATTTCTGCCTCAGATCTAGAAATGCTCTTAGCTCCTGAAAATAAACTCATTAATTTCTCTCTAATTTGACATGCAAATTTCTGCTATCAAAATTCTTCTTGACCAGTGCTTGATAATCAAGCCCATGGGACAAACTGAATTCCTCTCAAAGCATAAACATTTGTTACAGATTGCTGTAAAGTATATAATGAAAAAATAAGTTTTTACTTAATTTAACATTTTTTAATGAGGATACAACTATATTTTTACATTTTTAGGATTATGAAATTTAGAATTTAAAAGACATATTTTTTTTTAAAAAATTCATTTTAATTAAAGGTCACAGTGACCCTGAAATAGGCCACAACACATCTTCTACTTTAGATGTATACTTTTGCCAAGTTTAAAAGCTCTAGGTCTAATAGTTTTCTAGTTATGAGCCGGACAGGATTTTTCCATATTTTGCTATAGCATCTTTGTTGCAAATATATAAAAATTGAAATATGATTTTTTTCTTTCAATGAACACATATATAATTAGTTTTAATCATACACTAAAACATCAATTTGTTTTTATTTCATTACACCTATTGAAAGACCTTTATCTGGACTAGCCATCAAGAACTCTTAATTAGCACAAGCAGCTATGAGGCCATTTCTTTTTGCCCAACTCCCAAGAGATAAATTAAGATAATTTCTGCCTCAGATCTAGAAATGCTCTTAGCTCCTGAAAATAAACTCATTAATTTCTCTCTAATTTGACATGCAAATTTCTGCCATCAAAATTCTTCTTGACCAGTGCTTGATAATTAAGCCCTTGGGACAAACTGAATTCCTCTCAAAGCATAAACATTTGTTACAGATTGCTGTAAAGTATATAATGAAAAAACAAGTTTTTACTTAATTTAACGTTTTTTAATAAGCATACAACTATATTTTTACATTTTTTAGGATTATGAAATTTAAAATTTAAAAGACTTAGTTTTTAAAAAAAAATTCACTTAAATCAATGGTCACAGTGACCTTGAAATAAGCTGCGACCCACCTTCTACTTTAGGTGTATACTTTTGCCAAGTTTGAAAGCTCTAGGTCTCATAGTTTTCTAGTTATGAGCCGGACAGGATTTTTCCATATTTGGCTATAACTTCTTAATTAGAGGTCAGAGTGACCTACTTTTTGTGCAGGACACACCTTCTACCATAGATGCATCAGATGACAAAGTTTGATA